TCTTCGTAGATCAAACCGGAGATACGTTTGACACCACCGCGACGAGCTAACCGACGAATTGCGGGTTTTGTGATTCCCTGGATGTTATCACGGAGCACTTTACGATGACGCTTGGCTCCTCCTTTTCCCAAACCTTTTCCTCCTTTGCCACGTCCGGTCATTGTTGCTGCTTCTAAAGGATAGTAATAGATGACGACTTGGTGAACTGAACGTTTATCGCTGAATGTTCGAACGAATAAATGTGATCTGTATATAAGCCATTTCGGTGAACCGAACGACCAATTGGAACGCATAACCAAATCGTTTTCCCCCTCTCCACGAATGGAAACATTAAAAACTGTCGACCAATCGTGTTCACGTACAATCGTCTCATTTCTGCATATAAACCGGTCATTTGCCTGATTTCGACACATTCGTGTATCTCAATTTTTCTTGGCACCAACAGTAAACCCATTTGCGCAAACATCATGGCTCGTACCAAGCAGACCGCCCGTAAGTCAACCGGAGGAAAGGCACCGAGGAAGCAGTTGGCGACCAAAGCCGCCCGTAAGAGCGCACCGGCCACCGGTGGGGTGAAGAAACCACATCGTTACCGCCCGGGAACAGTCGCCCTCCGTGAGATCCGTCGTTACCAGAAGAGCACGGAACTGTTGATCCGCAAACTACCTTTCCAACGTTTGGTCCGTGAAATCGCACAGGACTTCAAGACCGACTTGCGTTTCCAGAGCTCTGCCGTTATGGCTTTGCAAGAGGCTAGCGAAGCGTATTTGGTCGGTCTTTTCGAGGACACCAACCTGTGTGCCATCCACGCCAAACGAGTCACTATTATGCCGAAAGACATTCAGTTGGCTCGTCGTATCCGTGGAGAACGTGCTTAATCGAATTTACATATTTTTCATTCCCCATTAAAAAGGCCCTTTTCAGGGCCATCAATAAAATTATAATCGACCCAAATTTGTTGTTTATCGTAACCTGAGGAGAATATGACAATGTATTTTAAATAATAAACCTAACAACTGCTTAATAAATATAACTCCATACTATTTATTACAGTCATTAATAACAATGTGTTCGACAATGAAACACAACATCGATATGCCTACTAATTAATTATTGTTTTCCTTTTCACGTTGAATATATATGTAAATAATATATATTTTATCTTTCCTCTCTCCGGGCAATCCGTTTATTTTCATTATTCATATAGTTATGATTGGAGCAGCGATGGGTTTTATTTTTTAACAATAATGTAAATGTATGTTTAATCTTTGGTGGTAATATATAATCAATGCCATAACGTTCTCTGTTCGAGACGGAAAATATTCATCGCGACCACGTATACCTGTAAACACACGGTCTTTTATAATATGAATAAATTTAATAGCATAATTATTCTGTTTAAGTGATATGGTTGTATATGTATATATATATATATATTCCGATATTACGTCTGAATTTCTTTTCACGGCGTATCAATGTATAAATTAGGATATATACAAATTTTATCTTTGATATGTGATAGATAAATTAAGAAACGACTATAACTATATTTAAGTTTTCAGTAGTATTTGGCAAAACGAAAAAAATTTGAAACCACCAGTACCTCTTTAAAAATAATTTCTTATAGGTATTAAATATATACTAATCCTTACACTACCCTTGTCCATTAAAATGAACATGATTTTTTAATTATTGTCAATTGATAATTACAGAAAAAAACATCGCATCGTGTCAGAATGTCAAAAACATTGAAATATTTTTTCATTCGATAACTAAACCATTAGTGTTGGCTGTACTACGTATTTTTTTCCGGATCATAAATGTAATCAAGAACATAATGCCGCCAATAGAGTTCATCTTTATCACGTATTTTGTTGGTTATACGTAATACTTACCACCTATGTCCATTGTGACTGACACTGGTAGTTCCTGTTACGCAACGGTCGTTTTCGGCGGCTCGGCACACGAACATTTCTTGATAAACTTATATGGGATAAACTTAAATGAATATTTGGCATTGGCAGGTGCTGACGTTTTCGATGATCCTGAAAACCTATCTGAGCAAACCCAAGAGCGGCCGGGCGGGGTCCCTGAAAATCAAATATCAGGAAAGTACAATGCGCTCGAATCTGTAGATTCTCGTTCGTCGAAACCTATCCGATTATCAACCGAATCATTAGAGTTTTAGTCTACAAACACTGTAAGCAGTATCAAATTTGGGTATTATCCGGAGTACGATGAAAAAAAAAAGAAGCTATCCGATGCAAAAAACCAATGCGTAAAGGGAGAACACGTTCTAAATAAACGTCATATGCACTAAGTACAACATGTACATATGTTTTACAAAAACAAATAGTTTTTCTTCCGATTACCATAGTAAATAATTGAATATGTTTTTTAATTACTAACCTGTTATTGTTTTTTATTAAATAAAATTTTTTTTTTTGTCTGTTTAATTGATATTTGATATTGTTATTAGATGTACAATACAAATTTGGGAATTCTTCTTTGCTATAATGAAAAAGTTAAATTCGTAAAACTTCTGGAATGACAACAAACTATGAACGATTTGATATACATCTTATCACGCCGCGTATATATAAAGACGGATGTCTGGATAAAATCCCCACCGACCTCTCTGACGCCCAGTTTAATTGTCAGTTTAGTGTGGCTCGACATTTCATAGTGCACACACAAACGTATTTATTATAATTTGTCATTCACATATCGCTGACAAATGATTATAAGTAACAATAAAATAATCAAACCTACATTTATTAGAAGAGGAGGAAGAAGAAGAAATGGTGTATACTTCAAATAGAATAAGTAATTAAGCCAATAAGTATTAAGATAATAGATTACTGATAGAAATTTATCTAGATAAAAAAAAACGAGTATCGAAACAATGGTAGTTATCGTTACCATAAGCATTTGTATCGATACTCATCTGGTGTCAATTGTATCTCAACGTCCCCAACCATAAATCCATTGGTGATATCATTATCATTATGTTTTTAATTTGACATTAATTATAAGATTTTTAATCCTGTATAAAGTTTTTCAACAAACTTTATAACCATATATGAGTAGGTACTTATGTCTGTAGTTTTTTTACGATAAAAAAACTTCTCTAATATTATCGAGTGTCAAAAATATTAATAGCACCTGAACGTGGTATATTATTTTAGTCAATTCGTTCAATGCCGTTTCCTATGCGTCATTAATATAATTCACTTGTTAAAAAATCTTTAAACACGTTCAAAGTGACCAGTTAACACAATGTTTTTTTATTTTTATTTATTAAATTTAAAATGTGTTAGTTTACTAGTCGGTACGGTAGTTTGATAAGTATGAAAAATTTTTCTAAGGGAACATTACTGTGTTTTAAAAGTTATTCTACGTTCAAAAGTTCAACATATTTCACTATGCCGGTTAGATTGTAAGTAGGTGAAGGTTAGGTTATACCTTTGTCCTCAAAAAGTTGTAAAAAAAACTTATTATTCAATAATATATCAAATATCCACTATGATTACTATAAATTATACATACACCCTAAATCCCCACTTTGGTTTTCGAGCCAAACAAAGTACAGTACACCAAGCAGACAGAATGGTTGATGTTATATCTACTTGATTTAAGCATAAATAATATTGCTCTTGTGTTTTCATTAATATTTCTCAAGCATTCAGCCGAATAGACCATTACAATTTTTTGCCTTCTCACTATTTCGTTTTATCAGAGCCTTCGGTACTTTTACCTCAGAAATGGTTCTAATCAATGCAAAATTAGTCCAAAAATATTATAAAAAAAAAAAATTTACTCAAATTTCCTATTATGGTTATGAGTCAAACAACTCATATTGTAATTAATTAACACGCCACATATATTTCAGATCATCCCCTAAATAAAACACCCTTGTTGCTGACTACATACATAGATGATAAAGCAACAATTTCTAACCATGAAACTCCTTATTAATATTTACAATCCCATCAGAATCTTTTTTCAATATAGTAATCTAAATGAAGAATACAATTAAACTACAACGCACTTATACATACAATCTTCAATTTAATACATGAACTAAGTCCAACATTTTTTAGTTTATATTTTTTTTTTTTTTTTTTTTTTTTTTTGAGATACTACGTTATGACATAATATAAAAATAATAAACAAATATATATTAATTTTTTTTTTTTTCATACTTGTATTATATTTTTAAAACACAGTAAACTGCAATTATACAAGAAAATGAGGGCACTGTAAGAACCTCCACGTAGTGCCCCTGGTAACAGAATGTTTTTTTCATATCCCACACCTTATAACAGCCCAAGGACCAAATAAGGTTGATATTGAATCAAACTCTGGCCAATCTTACCACCCACAGTCAGCCAAAACGGCCCTTTTCAGGGCCATGCTTGACGCTGGTGTCCCTTATAATCGAGGTACTCACACTGGAGAAAGAACAGCTAATATCGGAAATCGTGAGAAAACATAAATGTGAAGTTTTGTGCCTACAGAGAAACATAGAGGGATAGAACATTATGATTAATTTATTGAATCTATATTGATTTTATAATATATTTATTTAATAAATATATAGATTTTAAAATCTATACGCACAGTTTTATTTTAAATTGTCTTTCTAATAAACAAACTTAATTGGAGTTCTTAACTTATGGGGTGTTATTATAAGTTATAGGTGTGGGCATTTGAGCCAATTTTTTAAAGATAACATTGGACGAATTTATATGTTTTTACATATCATTACTTGGTCTATGCAGTTGTATGCGAGTAAAAAATGTGGACGATTCATTCAAATTTTGAGTTTGTAGATAAAAGTTTTTTTTGCATATTTGAGAATATATCATAGGTTCTAGAATATTTAGCCCATTTAGCATATTTTAGAATATTTGATTTTTTTTTTTTTTTTCATAGTTGGAGATTGTACAAATTGTTATCTGCAATCTAACCAATATACCTGGTGAAACGGGTAACATGATAAAAATACTAAAGTGTCTCAATTAAGTTAAAAAAATAAAGGTTACCAAATGTTAGCAAAAGTTGGGAACATTCTATGTGGAAACAATGTAGATCTCCCAGAATATTTCACACATAAAGTAGTTGTTGACATGAAGTTTGCACCTCTAATATCTGTTGATGTTGAACATTCATTTAGTCTCTATAAACAAATTTTAAGCGATAGAAGAACTAACATGAGTATAGATAATATGTAAAATATATTATTGTTAATTCATATCATAAAATATAAATAGTATTTCCATTTCCTTTTTTATTCTTTAGAAAGTAAATATTTACCATTGTATGCACCAAAGAAATATTGTTTTTTTTATACATATATATATATATATATATATACCTATATTGTTATTTTATATCTTGTATTAAATTATTATTATTTAAGGATTACCTTTTGTTAACCAACTTTTTTTTGTTTTATTATATTTTAATATATATATGATTATTTGTTATTTTTAATATTGTGACAATAGTGTTGATACAACATTTAATTAAAATATACCAAAAGAATATTGTTTTTAAATTTTAATATTGTAGACCAGGGATCGCCAATCAGTCAATCGTTGTAAAATTTAATTTTACCATTATCGGTCGATCGCGTAAAAAAATCTTATGTATTCGATGACATAATTATATTAAAAATGTTGTTGGATTTCCACGAATATACATTTTAATATCGAACCATAGGTTTTAACCGAGAAAAAAAGAAATTTTTAAGCCGTATTACTATCAATATCACTATTCGCTTTTTAGATTGTTTACTAGTCGATACGGTTATTATAAGTACGAAAAATTTCTGAGTATGTACATTACGAAGTTTTCATTTAATAACACATACACATTCTCCTGCTAGTATTCATTCCGTGCAGACGTCGTTCCATATTT